TGCCGTCGTAGAGCCTTGACAACTTGCCATTCCGGTTCAGTGTGAGTCACGTTCGTTTCTCACTGAACCTTTTGGTTTACGGTGTTTGTATTTTTCCTTCTTGCGGACCGTCACTTCATTCTGTCCACCTAGAACCTTCTGTCTGTCGACGGTTCCAGCCTACACCGAGACTCGGCCCACGTTCGGTTGTTTGGTGCATCTGTTCCCGGTGAACATCCCACCACACACGCAAGCCCAAACATATTACAACGTAAACAACTGGGCAATCAAGGCAACACAAACTGAAGCACCGCCGGGCACTGGCCGTGGTTGTCAAAGCATTGATTCTAAGGGCTTTCCAGCAGACAGATAAATGGCGTACAACGTTCCCGAAAATAAATAAAAATAAACGTGACTTTTAACACCTGTTACAAAACGGAGAATCGTTAGCGCAAGGCCAAGTGAATTTTTTCTGTCGATACGTAAGTAGTATGCTACCCGATGACTGTGTTTGTTTTAAGATGTTACTTACCGCTGCTGGAGATATTCTGAGAGGTGAATTCAATAGGGAATGAGATAACGGGTTGGCTTGGAATGGGTTATAACTCTCTCCAGCTGCCAGCCCTAAAGGAGGAAGTGATCGCTGAATAGGGTTCAGTTTCTGGAACAACAAAATCATTCGAAAAATAGAGATGAAATAATTTCAGGATCGATCTCATCTAGGCGAATCTAATCAAGCTACTCATGTATGATGAAATTCCTTGTGTACTGTATGTAACATGAAAGATGGAAGGACCCGCGGTATTCGGAGACTAACTACATGCCAGAGTTTAGTTCAGAAAAAGTCCCTCCTTGTTACGCGCATCACTACTAATCATGTAAAATGTTTAAAAAAGATTTGTACTAGTCGTGATCACTTTACAAAAATAAATCAATCAATAGAAGCTGAATTTGGAGATCAAGACACCATTAAAAACAGCGCCTTGTGTTATTTTCGGCCTATGACTGAGAGAATTTTCTGTTCAACAGCAAACAACACTGAACCCGTCCGTTATTGCAACTTCGGGTTCTGCAACTTTTCTTTTTTATTTCATAAACGTCGGACTCTGTTGCCATCTGGCGAAGATTAGACTACACTGTAAATAAGAATGACTCTATCAGCTCTCGAAAAAGTATGGGAATAAATGACCCGGAAAAACTGAAGATTGTTGCAATCAAAAACATGACAGTAGTGGAGGAGTGATTTACAATTTATGATGAACTTCGGTCGGTACAGAGCAAATGAAGATTGAACTGAAGATCTAGAAGGCACTGGGTAGCTGTTTCGACTTGATTATATCTCATCAGCAGTGTGCAAATCCATCGAACAAAGGACGGCGAACCCGAAACCTCACCGCAGGTGGAATGCGACACACTACTCACTTGGTTACCGGGCAGCTGATCAAACCGTTTTTCATTCTGTCGATGCCGCTCGATTTTCGGTATGGCTACTGGATACAGCTGAACAGTGTACTTCCTAGCTTTTCAGTTCATGCTTGGTTTGCTCTGTCCATGTCGGAGGTCACTTTGTCGTTACATTCAATCACGATTGGATTACAGCTGAAAATTTTCAGTCTCAGCTTCAGGCTTCAGTTTTCTCTGTTCCGAAAATGCAAACAAGATAGTGTTTGGGTCTTGATTATGTGAGTAATTTGAGTCCACTTAGTCAATATCAATCAGATCAATATAGATAGATACGGATTTATCTCCTTTTAATCTTGTGAATGTAAACATTTTATTCTTTGCAACTCAAATAGAAACGTGACAACATTACTGGTATGATATTGCCCTTCGTATTTCTAAGCCCTAGACTTGAGAATTTCACGTATTCCAGAAAGCAATTTTATTATCTCAAGCAAATCCGTACACAGCATATCGGGATGTGAGAGCCATGAAGTGGTCTATTTTAATAACGCCGAACGAATAATCGTTCTTTTAATTCTGCGAACAAAGAACACCAGGCTCTTATGGCAGAACAGAAAACATTCTAATATCTCTGTGGATGTTAACAGCCTCAATGCCGCCTTCCTCCACCCGTCAAACGAGAGCCAGATTCAGTCATTCCTTTGCAATGAATCCACTTCATTGCCTTTTTCCAATGATTTAATCTTTAAGCTTCTTCGATCCTGCAAAGCATCCTCAGCGGCAGGTCCTGATGGTCTTCCTCCGGCACTTCTGAAATTTGGAGCAGCTACCCTAACCAATATGATGACATCTATTGTCAATGAGTCCCTATCTTCCCCGTCGATTCCTCATTCTTGGCGTCCAGTGACCATTATTCCGATGCCCAAATCCACGTCCTCAACTGTTCTTGCGAAACGGTTTCGTCCTATCGCGTTGACCTCAGCGGCTCTAAAGGTAACAGAAAAAGCCATCCT